AAAAGGAGAAACAGACTAAATGAAGGCTGAGGGAGAAAGAAAATTATAGTGGACAGACAAGCTGAAAGCATCACTGCTCTGAAAAAATGGAATGAGGGAATGGCAAAAATAGCTCCTTCAAAAAAGAATAAATATGATTGTAAACCAATAATGGTGAAAAGAGAGGAAATAAGCCATACTGGCAGGTTAAAGAATACTGCCGGTGTTTGGGCAGCGTGCAGTCTGTACAAATTAACGACTAAATGTCCTGTGAAAGATGTGGAAGAGGTAGCCTGAGCTATTAAGGCACACCAATGCAGGAATATTGTTGTCAACAGTTAGTTTTTTAGAGAAGTGCTATAGTGATGCTTAGTGGTAAAGATGATTTGCATCTATTTTGAGAGTAGAGTTCCACTTCCAAAGCTAAATTTTTACAGTGCAGTCAAGGGACTGTCTGAGAGGGAGACACAGTGACCTCGGGAAACTGACGGCAGTGGGGTCGGCACATGGGAGTCAGTCACATTTGCATGTTGTCACCCAACTAGCAAAGCGTGCATCGTTCCATTTACCTGTACCAGTATACATTGACATGCATGCAAAGAACCCTAAAACATACTATGACCATACACAAAAGAACTCAGAGATGCAAAGCGAAGATGTTACACAATCAGGTTTGGTAGTCATCCGCATTGTGTTCTTCAACAGACTGTCTGAGTCAGAGCTTAGGTATATGAAATATGCACTGCTTAGCTGAACCATACTGGAAGAGTGAGGCGTAGTATGAACAGCGGCACAGTTAAGTGTGAATCTCTGCTGTGCAAATGGGAGAGAAATAGCAAAGAGTAATGTGTCCATCTCAGCTAATAACCCCAAAACTGTTTTATGGCCATATGTTTAATCAGTTAAATGACAAAACCAAAAAAAAAAAAAAAAAAAAAAAAATATGCTATTAGAGAAAAATGAGGGAGCTGCTCTGGGCCAAACGTCTCCCAGTAATAAAACATGTATCAAGTTGTCACTTTGTGTTTGGGTTTTCCCCGAACTAACTCGTATTTATATTCCCATAACCACGATCACAAATAACATTCAGTACTAGCCAATAATGGCTTAATACAGAGCAACAAGCATGTGAACACACTCACAGGTGTACTGTTCTCAACTTTAAAAACATGTTGAAGCCTGTGCTCTGATGCCAGCTAAACATACACACCTGATCAAAACACTAAGTGTGAAAAAACACAGCCACAAACATTCCTTTTTTTAATACTCTAAAATGGATAGCAGTTTAGAAAAACTCTTGTACCTCTTCTGACATATTAATAAAATCATTATATTTAGTTTCATAGTTTCCATCTTTGTTGGAAATGTCAGTGTATGTTACTTCAACATTAGTGACCTTTAAGGCAGCAGCTCATTCCTAAACAGCTTAAGAGTGTAAAACAAAATTAATCTTCCTAGTCATACCACACAGAAACTGCTCTATATATATAGCACAACAAAGACAGAGACACACTTTCCAATCAACGGGAAAGTGTGTCCTGACATTTTAAAGGTACCGTTCTTGGGTTCAAACAGTAAA